ATCCATATTCAAACTTTCAAAGTTACATTGGGTTTACAAATTAAATTTTAATCATGTGATCTACAACAATTTACTTGGTTTGTCATGATTATGTATTTTCTTGCCATTTTGCCAGTAACTTCTAAAAAAAAGAAATTTACCCTTCCACCCCCCCATATACACCCTTCCAGTTTCAAGACATGGTTTCTATTGTATATAAAATGTATTATAATTAGTTGATTATGGCTAATTACAGTAATTAAGGCTACAGTTGAATTGGTCTAAGCAATATTTATGAATTTAGACCATGAATAAGAAATTTCTGAGTATAATTGTAACAATATATTGATATATAACTACTATCAATTAAGGCTAATGACTGCAGTTGAAGTTGATGACGAAGCAAAGACGCATTTGGTTCATGAGATTGTGTAATTTGCAGCCCTTGAAAATTATGTTTTTTTTAATCAATCACAGAACAGACTTTATCGTAAATATGTTTTTTGAGATGTAAGATTGCCATTGGAAAGAATTTTAAATTCGAAACTTTTGTTTAAGAGAAGGGTCCTAATTTTATATTTAGATTTAAATTTACCAAATAAGGAATAAAAACTGACCTCAATATCTTCACGGCAGACCTGTTCCCAGATATTATAATCATCGCTGTCCGTGGACGTCACGCTCACTTGATCTACATCTTGCAGACGAGACTTCACTCTATCTATTGGCTTGATGACAAGTTCGTTCATAATGGCATCCGTCGTCGCCATTTTATCACCTGACCTCACTCCACTCTTACACTTCACACTTTTTTGATTTCCAATTTTAGAGAGTAGCAACAATTAATCCCAACTTTTACTTTATAAAAATTATAACTAACAGTTTTTATTGCTAAAACTCACACTTTCTTTGATTTCCAATTTTAGAGAGTAGCAACGATTAATCCCAATGTTTTATTCAAAAAATTATAACAAGGAGTTTTTATCGCTAAGGAATAGTATAGTTTCTAGCACTATTGATCATTTCTCAATTCCAAAAGATTTATGTGTTTCTGGCACCATCAGCCACGTCTTTCACCATCCTTTATCTCCATTTTAAAAAACAAAATGGAAACTTAATTCTTTACACTTATTTGATTTCTAGTTTTAGAGAGTAGCAAAGTTAATTCCTGATTATTTATTTTGAGGCATTTTGAGAAATACAAGGAACGTGGTTTGGGCTTATCTTCTTTTAGCATATCTCAGAATATAAAATAACAAGAAATAATTCCATTTATGACACCATTGTCATATTTTTCCCAGATAATTTCCAGTGTGAAAGAGCTATAACAAAGAATTATGTTTTTGGCACAAAATAATTTTCACTTTGATAACTTCGAATCTGTACAGTCGCTTGTAAGTCCTTCATATTTCACAGTCAAAGTCCAGAGGTCAAATTAATCATGCCATCATCCAAGTAACTAAATATTTTCTACAAATAAAGTCCAAAACGGATATCAACACACATGCAGATACAATTCAAAAACCATTTAAAGGGATTGTAAAGAGGTTTTTTGTTAATTTTTTTGTGTATCAGGGACAATGATAACATCAATTTGCACCATTCTAATTTTCAATCAGACGTCTGTGGTTCCTGAAATTCCACTAAAACTAATGGTTTGATGACGTCACCCCCGCAAAGGTCTTATGTGATACAAACAAATTTTGAGGGGTAACATCATTTAGTTTTAGTGAAGCCGCAGGAACCACAGACGTCTGATTGAAAATTGGAATGGTGCAAATTGATACTATCAGTGTCCCTGATAAGCTTAAAAAATCAGGAAAACCTCTATACAATCACTTTAAGGTAGAATAAGTAGAAATATATCAGATTTTAACTATGTTCATAACTACTTATCGCTACCTTTCGATGGAACGGATCATTTGTGTTTATGTTTTGAATTGTGCCTGGATGGACATCAATATCATTGCTATAAGACAATGTCCACTGTTGGTAAACTATTTTCAATGGAGATTTTCTGAACCAAAAAAAACTACACAGTTCACAATGTTATTTAGTAAAAAATATTCTGCTACATCACATAGTAATATTAACAATGTCATCCACAACTGAGTAAAACTGGTACACTGTTGAAAATATCTTTCAAGAAAACAACATTCTTCAACACTAAAAACCAATATCAATCCCGAAATCTAGCTTATCACAAAAAATTATCTTCACAAAAACTCACTTTGACAAAGATAAAGAAACTATAATGGTTCTGAAATCTTATAAATCATAGTTAAGAGTATTACAAAGTAACATTTCTATTGAAATATATCTAAATTATACACTCTTATGGCTTCTCACAAACTCCTTGTAATTTCAGATTAAGGTATTCCATTTCAATACATCCCAATAATCCCCTGTAATGGATGTATTTTCTTAAAGGAATTGTAAAGAGGTCTTCTAAATTTATAGGGAACACTGATAGCATCAATTTCCAACATTCCAATTTTCAGAAAGACATCTGTGGTTCTAGCAATTTCACTTAAACTAAGTGATTGATGACGTCACTAATCGCAAGATATGCTTTATCGCATTAGAACTTCGTTATTAGTGACGTCATATAACACATACAAATTTGAATGGTGCAAATTGATGCTGTCAGTGTCCCCGATACACATAAAAATTTTTAGAAAACCTTTTTCCTGCTAGTCACAAATTTCTGGTTAAGTCAGATTTGCGTCAATTTCTCTCATATAAATCACATTTGTATCTGAATAACAACAATGGTCGATTTAATATGAAACTATATCTTTAATGATAAGCTGGTAATTTTATACCTATTTCTATCACAATCTTCAGTCAAATTCCGATTAAAAGAAGTAAACTGACATGTGTTTACCTCAATCATAATCCAACTTGACACACGAATAAATTAATCATTGATAACAACTGCGATTAACTCAAAATACTGATGTTTCTTATAACTGAAATATTCAATTCAAAACAAAACAAAAGCAATCACTGTCACAAAGAGAAGATAATTCCATTAAAAGATCATTTCAACTTTTTCTTCAAATATCATTTGTCAGTTTGAACAATCCATTAAAAGACATCAGAAACAACTTTCCAACTTGTCAAATACAACTTTCTTCTACTTCATATAATTAAATCCATTTTTTTAAGACGTTCTACAAATACTCGTAAACTACTTCAAACTTCAAGATCTTTTTGCTTTGAAACATTTCATTGATCAATACACTGTCACTGACAATATACTGTTCCTTGAACACAATAAAGATACTATGTTCAACTTTCATTCATTCATTCTATTATAGAATATTCTCATTGATTCTTCACTCCTCTTCAGTAAGATGGCTCCGTTTTCTTACATACCTACATTGGAAAGATAATCTTCCTGTCCAAAGCTAGTTATCCTGATGAAGATTGTTTATCTGAAACATGTCAGCAACATGATACGAGCTCTAGTAAATAAAGTATGAATGGAAAGTATTCATAACATAGAATTTTCTCCTTGTTGAGTTCTCACTCCTGTTTAGCCTACTTTGCTTATTCACCTTGAGTCCTACATTGGAAAGATAATCTCCATTTCCAAAACTAGCTGTCCTGATGAAGATTGTATATCTTTAACATGTCAGCAGCAAGAGATGAGCTTTAGACAATAACTAATAGTAAATCCTACATTGAAAAGTTAACTTCTATTTCTAAAACTAGCTTTCCTGATGAAAATTGTATATCTTAAACATGTCAGCAGCAGGAGATGAGCTCTAGTTATCCATCTAACATTCAGTCCATTTCAGACTTTTTTTCATACATAACTTGCCCAAACACCATAACATAGAATAAATGGTTGGAACTGTTTTCCAATAAATATAAAATTCCTGATACTGAAAAGCTATTTATGTTTCCACTATACAACTTATTTTACTCTATAGAGGCTGATCAATAGTTTTTCTTATTAACAAATCATTATTCAAAATAAAATAGGCCGAAACATCTCAGAGGTGTAGAAAACCATCATTTAATAATTGTTCAATACTGAAGTTATAGACCCATCAGTACCAAAAATATTGTACATGTTTCAGGGATTATAAAGAGGTTTTCTACACTATTATTTGAATTGGGGACACTGCGAATGGCCTTATGTGATACAAGCATATTTTCTGATTAGTGACGTAAACAAACACTTAGTTTTAGTGGATTGCAGGAACCACAGACGTCTGATTGAAAATTTGAATGGTGTAAATTGATCTGTCCCCGATAAACATAAAAAGATTTAGAAAACTTCTTTACAATCTCTTTAAAAACAACGAGGAAAGACGGGGATGTGAGCTTAAACAGTTAATACATCACACAACATTTAACCTTTAAACGCCTATAGCAAAACATAAATCAAAATATACCAAATGTCAAACTCAGAGTGGCTGCCATTTTTTCCAATATTAATGAAATTCCAAACACGTAAAATGAGACTTTATGCTTCTATTAAGACAATTACAGACAGATCAATATCTAATACTTTTTTAAGCAGCCTTGATGAGTGTGGTGCAAGACAGGGTAGGCTCACTCTTCTAGACACCTGGTACCACTTTTTACTATCAAATACTCACTTATGATTGATATACTTCCTCATATGAAAAATTCATTAGCTGCTATCAATGTTTTTGATATCAAGCGTTGTTTTCCAGTTCAGGTTGTTAGTGCTTGGTCTATTTATAAATAAATAAAACAGTAACATTCCCAACTCTAACAAATATAAATATCTCAACTTCCAGTCTTAAATTTACATTTCCATTCAGAATGAAAAAGTATTAATTCGACTTCAGAAATAAAATAAAGTGCAAAATAAATGTCATTAGACATCATAAACAATATACCAAGCTGTAACAACAATCCAAAAACTCACTACTGACTGAACTATTCCACTGTCCTAGCAGACAACAATCCAAAAACTCGCTACTGACTGAACTATTCCAATGTCCTAGCTGACAACAATCAAACTCACTACTGACTGAACTATTCCACTGTCCTAGCAGACAACAATCCAAAAACTCGCTACTGACTGAACTATTCCACTGTCCTAGCTGACAACAATCAAACTCACTACTGACTGAGCTATTCCACTGTCCTAGCAGACAACAATCAAACTCACTACTGACTGAGCTATTCCACTGTCCTAGCAGACAAAAATCCAAAAACTCGCTACTGACTGAACTATTCCACTGTCCTAGCTGACAACAATCAAACTCATTACTGACTGAGCTATTCCACTGTCCTAGCAGACAACAATCCAACTTGCTATGGACTGAGCTATTCCACTGTCCTAGCTGACAACAATCCAACTCACTACGGACTGAGCTATTCCACTGTCCTAGTAGACAACAATCCAACTCACTACTGACTGAACTATTCCACTGTCCTAGCTGACAACAATCAAACTCATTACTGACTGAGCTATTCCACTGTCCTAGCAGACAACAATCCAACTTGCTATGGACTGAGCTATTCCACTGTCCTAGCTGACAACAATCCAACTCACTACGGACTGAGCTATTCCACTGTCCTAGCAGACAACAATCCAAAAACTCACTACTGACAGAGCTATTCCACTGTCCTAGTAGACAACAATCCAACTCACTACTGACTGAACTATTCCACTGTCATAGCAGACAACAATCCAAAAACTCACTACTGACAGAGCTATTCCACTGTCCTAGTAGACAACAATCCAACTCACTACGGACTGAGCTATTCCACTGTCATAGCAGACAACAATCCAACTCACTACTGACTGAACTATTCCACTGTCATAGCAGATGACAATACAACTCACTACTGACAGAGCTATTCCACTGTCCTAGCAGTGGACAATCCAACTCACTACTGACAGAGCTATTCCACTGTCCTAGCAGTGGACAATCCAACTCACTACTGACAGAGCTATTCCACTGTCCTAGTAGACAACAATCCAACTCACTACTGACTGAACTATTCCACTGTCATAGCAGACAACAATCCAAAAACTCACTACTGACAGAGCTATTCCACTGTCCTAGTAGACAACAATCCAACTCACTATGGACCGAGCTATTCCACTGTCATAGCAGACAACAATCCAACTCACTACTGACTGAACTATTCCACTGTCATAGCAGATGACAATACAACTCACTACTGACAGAGCTATTCCACTGTCCTAGCAGTGGACAATCCAACTCACTACTGACAGAGCTATTCCACTGTCCTAGCAGTGGACAATCCAACTCACTACTGACAGAGCTATTCCACTGTCATAGCAGACAACAATCCAACTCACTACTGACTGAACTATTCCACTGTCATAGCAGATGACAATACAACTCACTACTGACAGAGCTATTCCAATGTCCTAGCTGACAACAATCAAACTCACTACTGACTGAACTATTCCACTGTCCTAGCAGACAACAATCCAAAAACTCGCTACTGACTGAACTATTCCACTGTCCTAGCAGACAACAATCCAAAAACTCACTACTGACTGAACCATTCCACTGTCTAAAATAGTCTGATTTACACACCAAATCCAATACTCATATATACTAAACCATTCTTCACCATAAAAACTAGGATTTTTTCTCTTAGAATATCAATATATAAGCCTATTAATATTCTAATATTTCTTGTTCTATACCTTGAATATCTTTCTGTCCAACAGTAAAAACTGTCTATAACTTTCCAATAATACTAATACTATATACATCAGGCCTAAACAGTTGTTAATCTTATGAAAAATGAAATGAAATGGAGTTTTACATCCTTGTTGTAAAACTTAGAATGTCAGTAAGATTTTTCCATAACATTTATTTCTCAGGTGTCTTTCAGAAAAACCACATTTCATAAAACAATAAAAACAGATTGTATTCTTGTAAGTTTCCAATATATCGTAGGTAATTTCCTATCAAATTGATGTCTTCCAATGCTGAAATCCACAGTCCCTACTTGTGACCTTGGCCAGTGCTTCTATAAGAGCGTATCTCTTATAGAACCTTATACTACCCAATACAAAAAGCCTTAACAGAGTGTCTTTCAGAAACTGTCCTTATAATCCACATTTCATAAAACAATAAAAACAGATTGTATTCTTGTAAGTTTCCAATATATCGTAGGTAATTTCCTATCAAATTGATGTCTCCCAATGCTGAAATCCACAGTCCCTACTTGTGACCTTGGCCAGTGCTTCTATAACAGAGTATCTCTTATAGAACCTTATACTTCTATATAAAGCAAGATATATCTCTTAAAACGTACAATTAACGTCAATACTTCCAATCTACAAGAAACCTAAACGTCTCACTGTAGTGGTAAAATATTCCAGTAACCACTATAAAATGTCTGAAACCAATAATTAACGTAAGTAAGGAGACCACACTGTAGAAATACACCCACTACCAACTGGTATAACTATTAATCTAATACAAGTGATCACATTTCTGTCTGATTTCTCTAAGGTGGTCAAGTTTTCAATATCTTGCCTTTGCTCAATCAAGCTGATATTTTATTTGGAGTGACTGTAGTTCACTCGGTAAGAGTGTTAAAAACTAGATGTAATTTTCTTGGTGGTGGAGGTTTTTAATATTTGTCAGCATGTGAAAGTCCTCAAAATGTAAATAAACCAGCTGTACATGGGTATGGATAATCCAGTAAGATTCCATCAGAAACAATATTCCTTCAAAAACAAGATTCCATCAAAAACAAGAATCAATCAAAAACAAGATTCCATCATGCATAAATCTGATGTTAAATCTTGACACAGACAGACAGAAAGTATAAATTAGAACATTGTTAGAATTCTAAGCACATCATTACCCTCAAGTTTTCTATCAAATCTGTCTGATTGTTTTCCAATATAGATGATGATGATCTGTGAAATGAAAGATTGTTACTTTGTGAAACAGATTCTCTGTGACTGGTAGTTGAACTCAGACAAATTAAATTGGAAAATGAATTGAGGTGAAAGATGTGTTTATACTATAATCTCAGGCCTCCAGCTTGAAATGTTGTAAATATTTGAACCAAACAAAAAGATAACAATGTAGGTTCACAGTTAAGGATCCTTTCTACCAACTGGTCCTTGGACAAATCTCCATTAACAGCTGGGTTGGAATTATGAGTGAAGATAACTTTTACCGACTATGCTATAGAACCTCACAAAATAGATGAAGTTAGGTGTTCGATGTGGTGTACGGTATGGTGTCCGGTATGGTTCCGAATTATCGATAAAGCAAATGAAGCCCACACCCTAGCGGGACCTGTAAGCCTATCTCATATGTTCACTTCTTTTTTCAACTGTATTGATAGACCCGCACTGTAAATTGTACCTCATCCATATTCAGCTGAATTTGAAATTAACAAGAATGTGGTCAAATGTGTTTAGACTATTACCTCAGACCTCCAGCTGAGATAGTTGTTGGAAAATTTTCACCTCAATATTTAATTGTGTTTTTAAGTGTTGATCTGTTTTTTTTTCGCGAAAATATGAGAAATTGTCAGTTTTGATTTTGTTGTTTCAAATCAGATTGGTATAGTGCTGGGTATTGCCTTTCTTTCAAGCAGTGTGCAATGAGGGAAGAATTGCACCGGTATTAGTCTACATTTTTATAATTTTCAATCAAGGGATCTTTAACCTATGAAGCCTGGCAAATAAATTGATAGATAACCTTACTAAATTAATTTTTAAACAACCAAAATTATTAGAATTTTTACAATGCTCAATCATTATCAGATTTCTTAACTTTTACTTCGCTGATAAAATTTTATTACAAGTCATCGATCTTGGTCAATTTCTTATAACGGATACTAAATCATGGCCATTATAAATTTTTCACCAAAAAAATGAAAACCTGATTTATCTCATAAAGAAGGGATGTTATCAATGTTTTATAATCCACCTTTCTGTACATGATTTGACTGAAGAAAACTATCAAGGCATGCAGTGTGAAATGAAGAAAATTTTGCTGTATCAGCGTAATTTGGAGGTTCTATAGCACAGTCGGTTAGAGCGTTGGTTCTTTACATGACCTAATTTGCTTGGTTACGTCAAGCAAATGGCAGCTGTTGGTTAAATTCTTGATCGATGTATGATAGTCTGTTGACCTTGAATAAGTCATCTTTACTCATAATTCCAGTCAACCCAGCTGTAAATGGGTATGAATAATCTTGGAAAGATCAATGCGTAAAGGTTTAGCCAAGGATCAGCTGGTAGAAAAGATCCTTAATTGTGAACCTAAGTTGTTATCCTTGTAAAATTGTCAAGAGGTTTGACCAAGGATCAGCTGGTAGAAAAGATCCTTAATTGTGAACCTAAGTTGTTATCCTTGTAAAATTGTCAAGAGGTTTGGCCAAGGACCAGCTGGTAGAAAGGATCCTTAACTGTGAACCTAAATTGTTATCCATCTAAAATTGTCAAGAGGTTTGACCAAGGATCAGCTGGTAGAAAGAATCCTTAACAGTGAACCTAAGATGTTATCCTTGTAAAATAAAGTTGTTTCTTTCTTTTCTTTCTTTTAATTTTTTAAATTTTTAACTGTCAAAGAGACATGGATAGCTTATAGACCTAGTACTCTGTTTAGGGTTCCATCAAAATGACTAGACATTTCCTTCCCAACAGCACTACCACAGCCCCTACCACAGCCCCTACCACAGCCCCTACCACCTACATCACCAATAAACCCTGAATTCCAAACTTACTATTTAACCATTTCCTTCCATTTCCTTCCCAACAGCACTACCACAGCCCGTACCACCTGCATCACCAATAAACCCTGAATATTCCAAACTTACTATTTAACCCTATCAAATCTTGAATCTTTAGATCAGCCATTGTCATACTTAGTGTTCCATGGCTTAAACTCAATATAATAAAATATCATCATTAATGACAAAATGTCTGGTAAAAAATTTGAAGCAAGATCCCTGCTGAAGAATCAAGATATTGTTAGAATAATTCCATTCAGATTATTGATTCGTGGCTATTTTTAACCCTTCTTACTTTATCTGTAGACCTTACCAATTGATAGCTCAACATAGAAAATCACAGTATTATAATATTAAAGAGGTATACTTGCTATTGCTTTCAATATATTTACCAGTCATGTCTGACTAGAGCTCTAGACAATTGATTTGACAGTATTTACCAGTCATGTCTGACTAGAGCTCTAGACTGTTGATTTGACAGTATTTACCAGTCATGTCTGACTTAAGCTCCAGACTGTTAATGTCTGACTAGAGCTTTAGACAGTTGATTTGACAGTATCTACCAGTCATGTCTACTAGAGTTCTAGACAGTTGATTTGACAGTATTTACCAGTCATGTCTGACTAGAGCTCTAGACAGTTGATTTGACAGTATTTCCCAGTCATGTCTGACTAGAACTCTAGACTGTTGATTTGACAGTATTTCCCAGTCATGTCTGACTTAAGCTCCAGACTGTTAATGTCTGACTAGAGCTCTAGACAGTTGATTTGACAGTATTTACCAGTCATGTCTACTGGAGTTCTAGACAGTTGATTTGACAGTATTTACCAGTCATGTCTGACTAGAGCTC